ACGAGCCGAAACTTGAATGCGCTTCAAGAGGCGCTTCCTGAAAATGAGATGTTATCAAAGTGAAGATTGAAAGCAATAAAGATATTTCTCTACTGCTAAGAAATTGAGTTAGTCATATTTCATGAATTTGAGATATATTTCTATTGTCTATATATTGTGGATGATGTGCATATCTATGAGCTACTTCAGTGTAGAAGTTTGGTTTACATATCAGATACATTTCTCCTATATGCATATCGTATATAATTGATGACGTAGCTGTAAGATAATTCAGTTTATAAGTTTTTAGTTTCTAATATTTCATTAATTTGCATTTTGCATCTCTAAGGCTTATGCGACCAAAATATTTGATTATCACTGTAAAATTTAGTTATTTAATTGTTTAGATTGTGATGATATTCATATGAATTTATGCATAGACAGAAATGTGTTGCTTAACATTTTTGTATTTCTCATGAATTCTTTTTTATTGTGACACATTTTAATTCTTATCAAGCGACATTAGATGTTCGTCACTTGTCAGAACTGAAGTTATAAATTATGTTAGCTATAAATATTCTTTTTAAAATAATTATATTAATGGTGCAATAATTTTTTGATTTTGTAGAATTTTAAATTTTTATAGAACACGAATAACCCCAGTTTGTATAATTTATTTGGTATAGCAATATCTACACAGAATTTTCTTATACAAAACATTTAGAATATACGATTTATTCATGTTCCAAATTATTTAAAAATAAAACTAAAATATTCATTCTTAGTTTTCGCTTTTGATGACGCCCAAGTCACATTTGAGCCGCTCTCTCACAATTGTCAGCCGCATTCCAAGATTCCAAGAGACCTTCGTTTTGGCAACTTCGTTATGCACATAGCTATAATACCCATTTTTATGGCTGTGAGCGAAGTTTATACATATACATACATCTTTATACACATACACCTATATATGGGTATGTGTATCAGCATTCGCTTGGGTATATCAAAGTCAGTCTTCAGAAAAGTTGGCTGGCTTATTAAATATTAATTATGGCACAAACAGTGAGCACAATGAGATGCGCAGCAGCAGCAGCAGCAGCAAAATAGTTGAACAAAATAAAAAATCCGCTACATTTATGGCTTGAACCACTTCTAGCATTGTTTGTCTACTGTGGCCTGAGCCACTGGGCGGCAGATGGGAGCCACAGCCACGAGCTCGCTCATCAGCAGCGTATATTTGGTCATAGATACAAAACGAGCTGAGACTTGGACTGAGACTGAGACAGCGCCTATCTGTAGCAGGGTCAGATGCGCGGAATAGCTCACACAACCACAGCGAGAGCTGATCACGTGGGCGGGCATCCCAGCAACGTGCACTTGCGTATATCTGCCGCGATTAGCAATTCTAATTGCCGCTGTTGCAGCTGCTGTTGCAATTGGCAATGGGCAATTGCTAACAAGTGAGATTCGCGGCCCAAAAATCATCTTTAGTTTTTATGGCAGCATCCGCCTCTATACAATCGACTTGATGATGATGATCATTATGATAATGAAACGTGGGCGTGCATCGATTAGCGTGTGTTGCTTTACACAACAGACTGTATATATTACAATAGATCTACTATTTAGAGTAGCTAGTCAGCCAGTCGATTTCCATTTGAAGGCAGCGCCATTCGCAGGGGCGTGCCCCAGCCTCCAGCTGACCCAATTCGAGTCGAGCAGGAATCGTGTGGTAATTATGTAGTCCGCCGCGCGGGCAACTCTTAAGTGGCGACAGTTAAATCTCAAAGCTGAAGGTTCAAAGCGAGAGCAAGAAATTGAAAATTGCCCTCGTGATATTGAGCTCCTATTTGGTAGATTTGAGAGGCGTGGCAGAGCTTTGTCTTTCGGTTTAGAGCAACAGCGAACAATAAAACGCATTTGTCATTATAAAAATTACATTTAATTATATTTGTTTTGCGCCAGCCTCAACAAAAAAACGCACCCAGTTTCCGTTCCACAGTTCCATTTTAGAAACGTATGGCAGAAAAAACACCAAAAATGAATAGAGAGAGAGAAAAAAATATACAGAAATACAAAAACAATGGAAATGGATGTCGATTAGAGAGACGCGACTCGGCTGGCTCTGGCTCTGACTCTGACTCTGAGCTCAGCAAAGCGTGCGGGAAATTCATTAGCAATATTTATGACTAGTATATTTTACATGTGTTTGTTGTCGTTGCTGTTGCTGTTGTTGAATTTTTACTGAGTAATTTCCTTAGCAGACCAACAAAGAGCGACAACAGCAACAACAGCTACAACTACAACAACAATGCCATTATTGTTGCTGTCAGGGCTTTTGTTTTGCAAGAATTTGAAACGCAGTTGTTGTTGTGGCTGCGTTTTATATATTTACGTATGATCTGAATCGTAGTTAATGTTGTTGCTGTTGTTGTGGTTGTTGCTTTGTCGCTGCAGTGCGAATTTCACAACACATAACCTCACTTGACAGCGCACAGCGTGAAAACAAATTAAGAGAAAACGAAAAAAAAAAAAAAACCAATTCGATATGGAAAATTTTAAAAATATTGTCAGTGCATGAAAATGCAAAAATACAAAATAATAAAAATCCCAATATTTATTTAATTTATAGTTATCTTGTTCTATCTTCGAGCTTATGCAGTTCATTTTTATGAAAGTGATCAAATAATGACTTAAAGCGCTTGAGCACGTGCTTATATATAATGCTGATGAGCTAATATTGGAATAAACACTGTATAAACTCTGTTATATTATAGAGTATATGTAGCTGGCCAGCAGAAATAACTCTACTCTTATGTCAACAATATCATCCTTATAGCTATTATTAAAAGTGGCTAATCCAAGCAGGTGTCTCACTATAGTCCATGTAATAAGTAGTACCAAAAAAGTTAGTGACCTTTGCACTCTTGCTGTCAGCCTCCATTTTGTGTGTGCTGATGCAATATAGGAAGAACAGATACTTCGACTTAGAATAGATACTTTTCTGTTTTCAATCAGTTTGTCTTCTTCTGCTTGAGTTAACTGCAATATATTGGAGCTGACTGCATTTATGCATTAGCACAGAGATCAATGATGTCATGTTAAAGCCGCAGTTTTAAAACGATGTACATAAGGCATAAAGTTAAATTATATTGCGCATACGCAGTGCCGGCCGCATTCAATAAATTCCAAATTGGCCGCATTTGGCCATAAATCTAGCACGCGTCACAGGCACAATGGCCTATTTAAATATTAGCCATGTATTATGCATTATGCATTGTTTAACCGGCTGGTTTTGCATTTCTATTAATTATAAATCATGTGGGATTAGAGCAGCTACCAACGCGAGTCACCCTTGCTTAATGTCCCCCAAATATCCCGAGTCCTTCAACCCACATCAGCAGCAAGCCCTTTAGGTCGATATTAAATTTGAATTATGATTAGCAAACTCGTTGTTTTTCCTTTTGTAATTAATTCAAGTGTATTGCCAACACACATTTTGTGGCATGCCTCTTAAAGCAAGCCAAGCTGTTGCTGTTGCTGCTGCTGCTGCTGCTGCTGGGAGTTAGATGGAGCATGTTGGGCTGGGGCATACTTAAGCATGCCCCCGCTTCGATTATTGTGTGCATAATTTGTCATATGCAAAGTGGGCGATAGCTTGCTTAGAAACATGCCACCCCACAGATACAGATACAAATACTGATAGAGATACAGATACAGATACAGATAAAGATACACAGGCGTCGATGGGCGACATATTCGAGTCGTTTGTCGCTTGTTGCCGCGTGTCCTTAGCACTTGGTTGGTTCGATGGCGCCATTATAATCCGCATTCATAGCCCTGGCTGTGTATTGTGCTCAAATATGCGCATATATTTGGTGTACAATGGCGACTATTATATTGCATGTAGCGCACGGTATGTGTATACATATGTATCTATGGATACTCAGCTTTAGTTATGTGCATATTCTTTAAATACAATTTGGGTTTGTTGTCAGCTCAATTTTCAAGTTGCTGCGCTTACACTCGACTGTCTATATATATGTATGTATGCGCACTCCATTCCCCTTCTCTCTGTGTGTGTGTGTTTTCATTTGTTTATTTGCCCTACTGTTGCTACTGCTGCTGCTATTCCCATTCAACTGTATTCAGATTCTTTTCTTGCCAGCAGCAAGCAGCCAGCAGTAAGCAGCCAGCAGCTGCGGCGTCGCTCGATGGCTGCCAGTGATAACCGACAGCCAAATAGAGTTATATACGCAGCAGAGCTATATACGCCAGCAGAGTCTCTCTCTTGCTCTGTGGCTCTGTGACTGACCTACACAATTTGCATGCTGTTTGTTCTTTCATTTGACTCAATTTTCTATGAGCTGCTCTCTGGCATATCATTATTCTAGCACAGGCACAGTCTTTGTTCTTGAACTCTGCTGTTCTTGTTTCTGTTTTTCTTTTCCTTTTCAATAAATTTACAATTTACAATTCGTTCCTGTCAACTTTTATATAACCTGCCTTGACGTCGAGCCAAACTGGTTCAATTCAGAGCTCAGATTGAAAGTAATTATCGCACGCACAGAGAACTAAGGTCTAGGCTTAAATTAATAATTGATGACGCATTTGTTTATAATTTAAAGTAGTTTATTATACATAATATGATAGACATTCGCAAAACGGATTCAACTAGCAGTCTACTTATATTTTGTTATTATAGTATTAACTGGCTGATAGATTCATTTCGCATGATAAAATAATGTTTATCTTTAATAATTCTGTTCTAACTTGTCAACTGCTGGTGTCGGATTTGATTTATGTATACAAATTTGACCCGCAGTTGCAGAGCGGACGATTCCATCATTCATTTTGAGCTAATGTAATGTTGTTTCGATATTTCGGTTTCCGATGCTCTCTCTTGAGTTGTGGTCCGTCATGTCAATGTCCAACCTTTGACCTATTTCAGACAGCTCTCGATTGTAATTCATGTTGTAATGTTGTTTTCTTCGGCTTTGTTTGTCTTGCAGGTTAACTGAGTCGCCAACATAGCCAACTATCAGAACCAGAGCCTGTTGGGCAGCCATCACCATCTGCTCCATATCGCCGAACCACAATTGCAACTGCTGCCCGCAGTGACAACGACGCCGACGCCGACGCCGCCAACGCTGACGACAGCAGCATCGACAGCTGCCTCCATAATACCCAGCACCAACACCAACACCACGCCCATCGACAACCAACAACACCAGCGGCCAGTGTTTGAAAAAGCCATCACCATTTCGTCGATTGCGATTAAACGCAGGCCGACGCTGCCGCAAACGCCAGCGAGTGCCCCACAGGTGTTGTCGCCGTCGCCCAAGCGCCAGTGCGCCGCCGCCGTTTCGGTGCTGCCCGTGCCCGCAGCAGCAGCAGTTGCCGCGCCCGGTGCCCATCTGCAGTACGCCACCTCGCCGGCAGCAGCAGCAGCAGCAGCCGCCGCCGCCGCCGCAGCAGCAGCAGCCGCAGCGCTCAAGGGCCATCAGCTGAGCTTTGCACACCCCACTCAGTTTGCGGCCGCCGTTGCCGCGCACCACCAGCAACAGCAGCAGCAGCAGCAGCAGCAACAGCAACAGCAGGTTGCCTACGCACACCAGCAACACCAGCAGCAGCAGCAACAGCAGCAGCAGCAGCGTTTGGCCCAGTTCAATCAGGCAGCCGCCGCCGCTGCCTTGCTCAACCAGCATCTACAGCACTCGGCCGTTGCAGCTGCCGCGGCGCATCAGCAACAGCAGCAGCAGCACGTGGCGGTGCTGCAGCACCAGCACCAACAGCAACAGCAGCAGCAGCAGCAAGCGCCTGCCCATTATAGTGGATATCAGCTGCGCCACGCTCACGCACAGTACGCACCACAGCAACAACAGCAGCACTTGGTGCTGAGCAACAGCAACAGCAACACCAATAAGCAACACCAACAGCAGCAGCAGCAGCAACAGAGCAGCTCAGCCGCCGCTGCAGCAGCAGCTGCCCAGCACCCACCAGCAGCAACCACTGCGCTAAGTGTTGCCACAGCAGCAGCAGCAACAGCAGTCAACAGCAGCAACAATACCAACTCCCCGGGCAGCTCCACGCACGAGTCACAGTCGCACGAGTCGGCGCCGACGACTCCCTCGCCGGCAGGCAGTGCCAGTGCCGCAGCAACAGTCGCCAGCGACAGCAACAACAACAACACCAACACAACAACAACAGCAGCAACAGCAGCGACAACAATAAGCAGAGAAGCCAGCATAATGGAAAATCAAATGGCGCTCGCCCCGCTGGGACTCTCACAGAGCATGGACTCCGTGAACACGGCCAGCAATGAGGAAGAGGTAAGTGCCACGTCCCAAGCCCCGTTACAATCGCAATGCAGACAGGGCTCGTGTTATGCCGAGCCAGCTGCGAGACAGCTTAGGGATTACGGTAATACGCAAAAGACAAACGAAAGCAAACAACCAGCCAACACTTTTTTCGAGCGAAATAGTCATCAAACTCGATTTGCGCCCCACTGTCGCTCGAGCAGCAATCGGCTGATCCAATGAACAATACAATGCCAGGTTCTTCAATGAAATATTGGCTTAGCATCAGGTTTCGAGTTGGCAGCGCAAAGGTAGTTAACAGGCGAGTGGATCAATCCACAGGTAATGTCAAAATAAAGTGTCTGTGCGATGACACCGCAGAGAATAAAGTTGGAAACTGATAGATTATCGGGGAAACTAAAAAAATTCTAGTTTTTGAAAGCATTTTACCTGTTATGAAAACATAATTATTTTACATGAAAAAAATATATATTTCTTTAAACAGTCGAGTCTCGATAATTTGTACCCCTAAATCGAGAATCGTGATAGCCCGAAAAAATTCGATTCCCTTGAGAGAAGTTCGTTTTCAATAATTCTCGATAATTTGAATTTCAGTGTAAATCGAATAAAAACTCAATCCCTTACCATTTCGAGCTATCGGGATTCTATTGTATCTCATAAAAATACGAGAAATTTTGTTTGTGTTTTCAGTAGAAAAATAATTAAGCAACAATACATTTCGGATATTTGTGCGATTGCAATTAAAATTGAATAAAAAAGTAAACAAATTTACTAGGTTTCACTTTCAACTTGATAATTTAATCATTTTATGCTTTCATCGGTCTTTAAATTCGGTCTTCTTACTTAGAACTTATAGCTAACATTAAGGAATAATCTATAATAATAAGAATAAGTAATTTAATTTTCTACATTTTAGTTTCTAAATTCATATATATTATATATGTATTATGAAGTAGAGCTAAAGTCCATCGATAGTGCTGACACAGGATGGTTGCAACCATGGATACTATCGGTGGTTCCGTCAACCATTTCAACATCTATGAAATCTAATTTCCTGCAGTCCTAGTTTATTATGTTAAAATACTAATGAGTAGGAGTACATATCATGTTTTTTCTTGGTTTAAGTTATCTAATATAAGTTATCTTTTATTTCCCTAATTCACACTCGAGGATTGGTTTATTACGAGAGTTGTTTCAGTAGTTCTCTAAGCAACACGATACAAACAGAATCTATACTATCGCTGGCTTTAACATCTATAGAATGAATCTGTTATGGGTTACATACAATATTATTCTTGGCAAGTTAATGAAATCGAATAACATTTCAGTAACACGGCGAAAGTGCAAGCGCACATGATAAAGCGTTGGCAAACAAGTTGATGATCGATATCTCAAGTGCATGTATTATAATACACACACACATGCGTACACACATATTAATATATATGTATAGTCCCATTCCCAGAACCGTTTTGACATGTAGAGCTGCATGCGCTGGCTGCAACTCGGGCGAAAGATTTTGGTGGCATGGTTTTTGTTTTTCTTTTCATTTTTTGTTGCTTTTGGTGGCTTGAAATATTGCATTACGTTGGGCAGAGCGCAGCAGCCTCAGCATGTGCATCCTCAGCAAAGGCAGCGCCGTGCATGGGGGCTGCTTTGGCCATGCTTTGGCTGCTTTACTTTTGATTATGCGCCCTGTCTTGTGCTACACATTTTTCACGCTGCTTTTTCTCATATGGCGACGGCTTCCCACAGCGCAAACGGCGCGTAAGCCGACGGCACGTGCCCAACGCCCCAGCCCCACGCCCAAAATTCTCTTACTTAAACGCCCTCCTCTGCGAGAGTGCATGTGTGTGTGTGTATGTGTATTTGTGTGTGTGTGCTTGTCTCTGCTCATGTCAAGTGCTACGTGGCCTTTCTTTAAGCAGCCCAGAGAGAGCATAACCAAAACTCAAAGCATTCAGAAGACTCTCTACATCCTCATAATCCTCCTCCTCCGCCTCCTCCGCCTCCTCCAGCTGCTCCGCCTTCTTGTGCAGCCCTTGCAGAAATGCAAGCGATGCGTTAAATTTGATTTTATCCTTGACGCATAATGCTCTGCTGCGTTGCTTTTGTTTAGCGTCCTCAACCTTTGCCCTGATTATGTTTCTCAAATAATATTTATGATGCACTCCTCCTGCTGCTGCTGCTGCTGCTGCTGTTCTGCGCGAGATGTCAACTAAAATTTATTTAAAGGTTTTTTAATGGTCGCGCAGCCACAATTGCATTTTTCAAATGAATGCGCAATCACAACAACTCCTCCGTCAACCCCTTCCACGGCTGCAGTGCGAAGCGATGCTCCAAAAAGCGCATTAAAAATGCATCAATCACGTTCCTCCACTTTGGACTGCAGCTGAAATTGCCAAAAGTGGAGCACAAGATAAAGATGAGCGCGAGAACGTAAAATATTTGCAGCAGTAATTCTGAAAGCGAATTAACTCACATATCACTTGAATTAATCAAATTAAATATGAATAGCACTGGCAAAAATCTGTTACAACTTATAAAACTCATTACATATGAAATTCGATTAATTTTCTATAGATAATAACAAGAAAGTCTAAACAAATAATAAATCATATTTATGAATTTCCCAATTAAATTGCTTAAACAGAAAAATAAAATATTTATTACAAATAATAAAAAATTATTACACTATAAATAGATAATTTTTAAAGATGTTTTATCTTAATAATGTTGTCAGTAAGTTGAATGATCGCATTTGGAGCGCCATCTAGCATAATTTGATAGGGAAATATAAAACAACAATTTAACAAAACTTAAAAACAAATTATGAAATCATCTTATAAATATTAAACAATAAAAAGATAATAGATAAAAGTGAAGCAGCACATGTTAAGGATTGATACGAGTTCGTGGCGCCATCTAGCGTAAATTGAATGAACATTTTCAGATAGATAGATATAACAAAAACTACAAAATAAATTACTTAATGAATATATAAATACTATATGTGAAAATATAAATATATAAAATAAATCTTGTAAAGCATTTTACCTGTTCCGATTGCAGCTTAAGGATTAAACGTTTCGAATATTTGTGTGTTGATGGCGCCATCTGGCATAACAGTGCTGCACTCACTTTTGTGTGTGTGTGTGTAAATCCAAGGCGAGTCGTCGACCTGGCCAAACGGAGCCTCGAATCTCTCGCACTTTTCTCGCCTCTTGCATTCGCGCCCAGCCACTGCCTTCATTTGTATTTATGAATAACACTACCATATACAGTCTGTCTCCCTCCCACTCTCTCTCGCTCTGTGTTTCTCTCAGTGTACGCTCTGTTTGTGCGAGTGTTGCTCTGCATGAATTATTGATAAGTCAATTAAAAAAGTATGACAGCAACTGATGGCACTTAAATATTTCACACACACCCGACGAGCTGCCCTCAAGGATATGCATTACCTGTCGCTCCAGCAGATGCAGCTGCAGCTCCAGCTCCACTTCTTTTCTCTCATTTAAACGTTTTATGAGCGCGCTGGCCGGAGCTTCAAGTGGCCATTGTCCGGGCCGGGCGCAGTTTCAGCTGCGTCTTGCAAAGGCCATTGGGCAGTCAAGTGTGTGCAACCTACCATAAAAAGTGTGTGTGTGACAACATGGCAGCCCTTCATCCCATGCCCGGCCATGCCCTGTCGTCTATTTGCAGCTTCCACATTTGATTTTATCAAAGTTGCAACAAAGCGCCATTCTCTATCCGCCCAGAGTGCCAGCCGACAAGTTTGTGGCAGCACGTCGTTAACCCGATCCCCCCTCCCTTGCCCCTCTCGCAACTGCACGCACGAATGCAAAAATATAAAATAAACTTAATAAAACTTGTCACAGATGTTGCACTCCGCCTCCTGCCCGCCCCTCTTCCCTCTCGGGCTGTCCAGCGTTTGCATTTTAAGCGTTGCGCACAATTAAACTTTTAACTTTCTGCCAGAGTTTTCGACAAGAAAAATTTGCCTTACCTAACGTACGGCCGCAACGTACTACCACCCCCACCACCACCCCCATCGCACCACTGCACCACCTCTTCCGCCCTGCAGCATACTCTGCAATTTTTGTCATGTTGTCTCGACGGAGGAAATTGCCAAGTGGCAAAATAGCCGTCAAAATGCTCTTTCTTTTGCAACACAAATTCTCTCTCTCTCATCTCTCTCTCTCCCTCTTTTTCTGCTGCCCCTCTCTGTTGTTATTTCCTGAGTTAGTTTTAGTTTTGCAGTTTGACATTTTTGTGCTTTATCATGTTGTCGCATGCAAACAACGTTGCATAGTGTCCAGTCTGACCGTCAGGTGTCGCTGCAAATCAGCCTTAACCTTTGCACTGGCAGCTGGCAATGCCGCGCAGCCAGCAGCAACTGTTGCAGCTGGCAACGCCGTGCAATACGACGCGAATCTCTTGAGCCTTGTGGCTGGTGTGGCGACTCCTGCTTCGCAGTGTCTGTTGTGTGGCAAATGCAAATCAACATTTTGCTGCTGCTGCTATTTTATGTTGTTTTTATTTTGGTTGCTCTGCTGCTGCTCGGCACGTTGCATGAAATTGCTGTCCAAAAATTTATTTGTCGCCTTGACATACGCCACAGCTATAAATATACCAGTAGCGCAAGCGACCGATAGAGAAAGAGAGAGAGACAGTGGGACAGAGAGAGAGCGGAGCCTGGCTAGAGAGCAAATATCGCAGACAAGGCGAACCAACTTTTGGCTCAATGAATTTCTAAACAACTTTTGTATGTCCACAGGGGTTTGGATACACATACACACACACACACACCCGCACACCAATACATAAACACACACACACACACACACACATAGAAGCAAATAAGCGGTTGCCCCTCGTTCGTTTTCGCTAAGTGAAATGTCAACGTTAAGTATTTTGTTTTGCCATTTTTGCGTTTTTGTTTGCGCCCGTTTTTAAATGCCAAAATAAAAAGAGTTTCGTGACAAGGCTTTTAAGCCATTTTCCGTATTTCAACT